CCATTTCCCCCAGCTTCTCCCTCACCCTCACCCATGTCCCCCAGCTTCTCCACCACCCTCACCCATGTCCCCCAGCTTCTCCCTCACCCTCACCCATGTCCCCCAGCTTCTCCCTCACCCTCACCCATGTCCCCCAGCTTCTCTCTCACCCTCACCCATGTCCCCCAGCGTCACCCTCACCCATGTCCCCAAGCGTCACCCTCACCCATGTCCCCAGCGTCACCCTCACCCATGTCCCCCAGCGTCACCCTCACCCATGTCCCCCAGCTTCTCCCTCACCCTCACCCATGTCCCCCAGCTTCTCCCTCACCCATGTCCCCCAGCTTCTCCCTCACCCTCACCCATGTCCCCCAGCTTCTCCCTCACCCTCACCCATGTCCCCCAGCGTCACCCTCACCCATGTCCCCCTGCATCACCCTCACCCATGTCCCCCAGCGTCACCCTCACCCATGTCCCCCTGCATCACCCTCACCCATGTCCCCCAGCGTCACCCTCACCCATGTCCCCCTGCATCACCCTCACCCATGTCCCCCAGCGTCACCCTCACCCATGTCCCCAGCTTCTCCGAGGCTGATATTGATTGTCATTCTCTGGGGAGGGTAATGGGTTCCTGGCACTTGCCTCCCTCTCTTCTCTCTTCCTGGACTGCCTACTCTCCCTCCATCTCCCCTTCTCCCTCTACCTCTTCTCCTTCTCCCTTTACTTTCCTCTCCACCTTCCTCTCACTTTCTCCAAAAAACCTCATTGCTCTAACGTCATCTTCATTTCGTTCTTCCTTATATCACTTTCCAAATAAATCTTTTTGAGACTTATGATGTCATTGGCATGAAGGTTACATTTCATGATGATTTTCCAGTGTCTCTTTATTGGTAAATACCAATTTCAGTGATGAACAATTACGTCACATTAACGTGATGTATTAAAAAGAAAATCAGTGGAGCCACGGGGATTCGAACCCGCACACATTGTATTCCCAAGCCCACACCCAAGACCCATTACACCACGACATGTAAAAGCACTACAACCTGTTCATTGGTTGCAATGATAGGGGCACCCCCAGAGGTCCCGACACAGCCTCATCCTCCACACCGTGATCCATCACTGTGGCACAGTGGTCTACAGTGGCTACTAAGGAGAAAGATGTTCACTTCCTCCTTATCTTGAGGTTATCTTGAGATGATTTCGGGGCTTTTAGTGTCCCCGCGGCCCGGTCCTCGACCAGGCCTCCACCCCCAGGAAGCAGCCCGTGACAGCTGACTAACACCCAGGTACCTATTTTACTGCTAGGTAACAGGGGCATAGGGTGAAAGAAACTCTGCCCATTATTTCTCGCCGGCGCCTGGGATCGAACCCAGGACCACAGGATCACAAGTCCCGCGTGCTGTCCACTCGGCCGACCGGCTCCCGGCTCCTTAATTCACTAGAAATAATTTAGGCAATGGGGTCAGATGAGGTCAGCCCGAGACTGTTATAGAATTATGCAGACTTGCTGATAGTGTCCCTACCTACTGTGCTTATCACCTGGAATGTGGTCTTTCCTATAGAAAAAGTTAGATGTTGTTCCAGCACACAAAGGGAAGAGTTGCTGAGTGTTTGGGAACTATGTACCAGAGTCACTTTTCTCAATTACTGTCCAAATTCCTGAGGCAATAACCTCAATAAATGTCATCATATACTGACCATCATAGATATGGTGTGGTCGACAATATTGTTTCAGGAGAGGTCGTTTTGCAGTAGATCTTTTCTTATACCACTCGACTGAGTGGCATCAGTTATTGAATGACTCCAAGATCATCTGTGGTGCTGCACTGGACATTGAAGGGTGACTTAGACTAGGTATGAGGAATCACGCTATCCTTTAAGCACTAACTCAGGCAACACTTCACAGGTAAATAGTGACTTCCTTCAAGAACAGATTCTAAGAACGATCCTCCATGAAACAGAGTCGGAAAGATGCTCAATTGGTAACAGGGGTACCACAGGGTACTGGACTTGAGAATGGTTATGTATTATATATATATATATATATATATATATATATATATATATATATATATATATATATATATATATATATATATATATATATATATATAAGTAAATATACATGTGTACATACAAAAGAATGGGGGTGGTAGGAGAAGATAATATTAGTGTTCAGTGAGAAACCACAAGGTCTCCTCTGAATACTTTTTATTTTCTTCTCCGAGGCTATGGGTCCCCACATTGGCACCAGAGGTGGTACCCTCACTTTCTTGTTTATATATATATATATATGTCGTACCTAGTAGCCAGAACGAACTTCTCAGCCTACTATGCAAGGCCCGATTTGCCTAATAAGCCAAGTTTTCCTGAATTTATATATTTTTCAATATTTTTTTCTTATGAAATGATAAAGCTATCCATTTCATTACGTATGAGTTAATTTTTTTAAAATTTGAGTTAAAACTAACGTAGATATATGACCGAACCTAACCAACCCTACCTAACCTAACCTAACCTATCTTTATAGGTTAGGTTAGGTTAGGTACCCGAAAAAGTTAGGTTAGGTTAGGTAGGTTAGGTAGTCGAAAAACAATTAATTCATGAAAACTTGGCTTATTAGGCAAATCGGGCCTTGCATAGTAGGCTGATAAGTGCGTTCTGGCTACTAGGTACGACATATATATATATATATATATATATATATATATATATATATATATATATATATATATATATATATATATATATATATATATATATATATATATATATATATAATATATATATATATATATATATATATATATATATATATATATATATATATATATATATATATATATATATATATATATATATATATATATATATATATATATAATACATACATATACATCCGAGGCGGGACCAAAGAGCCAAAGCTCAACCCCCGCAAGCACAAATAAGTGAGTACACACACACACACACACACACACACACAAGAGAGGAAATGCTAACTGCTACGAGGCTCATTAATCACGGACTTGCAGAAATTTCTTCTTGGTACAGACAACCGCAGGTTACATTTACGCCAGAGACAAAATGAGTGATAATCATAACTAAAATGTTTTTGCTTATTGATGAAACTAGCATCTTGGGTATTATTAAGTGCATCGCTTCAGTGAAGACGAAGAGCCACATGTGGAATTTGGCAACCAAAAACAGCCAAGAAACTTACAGCCTAAAGCTGCATTTCACACCTTCTTGACAGCAGTGGGGGGAGGGGGGGGGGGGGTAAAACTTATCCTTTTAAGCACATGTTTACCTTATCTTACCTTTTACAATATCGGCCCCTCACCCCACCCATCCTGCGATGGGTCGATAGTAACCCTCCCCAGGATGCAGCCCAACAACAGGTTGCCTAACTCAAGGGTACCTATTTCCTGCTACGTAAACCGAGGCATTACCTAAATGAAAACCTACCGAACATTATCTCTCTCGGCCGGTGATCGAACCCGGCACCACTGACTGTAAGTCAAGAACGTAGCCACTGTGCTACAGGCCCAAGGTTTAATGAACTCAGTTGCATCAGAATATCTTAGTTTTTGTGCATTAAAAGACGTTCACTAGGGATGGATGGAGATGTGCGTCAAACTACCTGGTTAATAAAAAAATAAAACAAAACTTGCTTACATATCCTCTCCTCCGTGCCTCACGGAACGTGCCTACGTGCCAGACGCCTCACTCAACCTGACGTGGCTTGAGGCCGCCGGCAACAGCCACGTACTGCCGTGTATACAACCCCCTTACGCCATCTATTGAGCGGGAGGATAACTAGCCGTCCGCGTCTCTGGCGATCTCTGAACTCCTTCTGCAAGTTACGCTTCTCTTGCGCTTGCTCTAGTAAACAACGGTGCTTGCTGCGTGCTTTCATCCTAAATCGTGTGTCTTTGCCCCTGTGTATATTTAGCAGTACCATGCAACAGATTATGCATCATTATTATTCCAAAATTAATTACTTAAGATTGCCGCTAATAGGCTACAGTGGAGCTTTATCCTGCTGACAGCGAGCTGTCTGTTATGTCTTGTCAAAATCTGATGTAATAGACACATTTTGTATTAGCCATTTAGCCTCGAAGCACTCATAAGTCTTAGAAAAATATTTGATTTAACAGTGATATTATATGACAGTATTTCAACATTGATGTCAATTGACTGTATTGAAACACCTGTTAACTGACCGTTACGTGTAATATTTTTTCTATTGCTTTACTTAAATTTTTATAATACTGTATACTCATAATTGTTAGTTTGTCATGTTTTGAACTTTATCTCTGATTAAAGTTTTAAGTTAAATTTTGTATTCGTTTTTACGTATTTTTTTTTTTAACTTCTTGTTTGACTTGTTTTGCCTATTTTTGTTTTATTTTACAGCGCTTTTGGCTTGATTTACCTTATCTTTTACGTATGTCTTATTTTTTAATTTGTTTTACATTTTTTTATTTTTTTATCATTTGTTCCTGCATTACCATATTTTGACTTATTTTACCATATTTTTGCTCATTTTATCTTATTTTGTTTTACTTTATTTCTTATTTTGTAATGTATTGTCCCACTGATTATTTTTCCAATTTTTTTTAGGGGTGATAAACATTCATGTCATTGCTGTTGTAAACCATTTGGAAATTCTTTGGCGTTAATTTCTTCATCAGACTTTTTTTTTACGTTATTTTTAATTGTCAGGTTCAAAATATCTTGAAATTAGTGAATTGTTGGACATTTGGTTTATTGCAACCTCAGAATAGTCAGGAACGACTTAGATAATATATTTTAAGCTGTGTTCACATAACTTTCGTTGAATCTATTCATCTTAAACATTGCTCTACTTGCTTAAATTGTATCCAGCGTAAATTGTACTGGTACAAAGTTTTCTTAATTGGTATCACGACTGAAAGTTTTTATATTGGCATCCTGACAAAAGTTTTTTACTTGTGTGTAACATATAAACATAAAGAGGGAACATGAAAACACAAAAGTGAACCGTTTAGATTGTTTTTAATACTCCTTGGTACGTTAGCGCTACATATTTTAATTTGGCATCAAAATATTATAAATATCTCTTTATGTACATGATAACTTCCATATATTATACTCTTTAGAGTGAGATCAGATCAGGTCCCTTTGGAGAACTCGGAGCAAGGTAACATAGAATCAACTTCTACACACACAAACACACACACACACACAAACAGAAACACACACACACACACACACACAAACAGAAACACACACACACACACACACACATATATAAATATATATATATATATATATATATATATATATATATATATATATATATATATATATATATATATATATATATATACACACAATTCCAGATGCCTTAGTACTTATATTCACATATTTACCAAGAATGGTAGTGCACAATTGATTTAAACATTAATGAAGTTTTAATAATATTCATACAATATTAAATGTAATTAACCAAAACAAATTTACATAAAATTTTTAGGCATAAAACAAATGTAATTATGTCTAAATAGTTCAAATAAAATAATATTGGTGCACTTAATCTGTTTCTGTATTTATTCGTGTTCTTTAACACTAATCTTGCAGTTCATGTCAGTTGCACACACGCAGATGAACGGGTTGTGTTCGCTGTATGATAAACACAGTCTTTGTATCAGAGCGTGACGCAGTGAAGGTCTTCAATGTGCACTTAGGTGCCCCAATGTGATTGGGCACTACAGTAACTGTCCAGCTCTGATCATTCACGGTGGGCACTACAATACATCTGTCCGAGGAGAGACTGAAAAGAGTTGTCCAGCACTAAATTACAGTTGTGGGTTCTAGTAGAACTGTCCAACACTTGAAAGACAAGGTGATTATGCAGAAGAAAACACTTGTCCAGCGGGTATTACTGTCCAGCGGGTACTGTCCAGCGGATACTGTCCAGTGGGTACTGTCCAGCGGGTACTGGAAGAACTGAACTCAACTGGCGAGAATTAAAGTTCATCTTCCCAGCAGAGCACATCTACTCACGATAAATAAATAACAAAAATATATATAAATATATCACGATAGAAATTGTGTAGTGGGTTACCACTTGCAAAGTTCCCTTAATACCACTTTTTGTTTCACTTTGTTTTAGAGATCATCGATAGTTTCTTTGGAAGTAACTGGTCTACACAATGTTCTATTGCATGTTCGTCGACTTTACTTTCAACATTTCGGATAATTTGGTGTTGACACATTTGGAACCGTCAAAGAGCTCACTGGACACCTTCAGCTTGCTTCTCTCCAGGTGCCTGGAGCTTTTCACTTCGGGGAAATAGTCCGTACACAGTCTCTTGGCCACTTTGACTGGTGGCTTGCCTTGAAGTCTCTTGAGACCTCTGTTGTTCGTTGGGGACACCTGACTGTTGCTGTGAGACGGTGTAGGGTAGGTGGGGGATGGGCAGGTGGTGGTGGTGGTGGTGTCCAGGCAGGTGGTGGTGGTGGGGGAGCAGGTGGTGGTGAGGCAGGTGGCGGCCGCTGTAGTGTAACAGGTGAATCCTGGGGCGTCCTTCTCCAGAGGCACAGAGTGCCACGTGAATTCTCCGTCCTTTGGCGTCTCTTCCTGGAAGTCAAAGTTCCAGCGCTTGCAGTCTGCCTGTTGCATCTTGGCCATCTCCTCCTGAGCGAACTTGAGGTTGTGTCCGCGATCTGCCGCACCGAACAGCTTCCGTTTGACGGCGGGGAGAGAGCGATCCTGTGACGGGGCCATCAACTGACGCTGCAACTGTAACATTCTGTTGTTCAATAGCCGATGTAAACCCACAGTATGGCTGCTGTTGACGTCTCGTACCAGCTGCGGTAAACTCATGGTGGTGGTGGTGTAGAGCTGCGGTACACTCATACTGCTGTTTACCTCCTGCACGTACACTTGACCCATTAGACCAGAGTCAAATGGAGATGACAAACACTCACACTTCTTCTGTTTGTTTACACTTCAGTCACGGTATAGTGTGTCTCTCCGGCCGTGCGTCCCTCACGGCTGCCCACACGGTTCTGACCCGCGCGACGCCCTCCACCGCTGAGTGCGTGTGTGTAGAGTGAGAGTGGGGGGGGGGGTGAAGATGGGGAGGGCGTGAACCCTTGGGCGAGGAGAGGGGGTGTGAGTGGGGGGAGGGGGTGTGGGGGGAGCTGAGGGTCGCAGCGTACACCCTGGGGGTGGCCTCGTTATGGGTGAGGCAGGGGGGGGGGGGGCAGGGGCGAATACACCCTGAGGTTGCATCGCTCTCCTAGCTGGTGGGGGAGGGGGGGGTGAGGGGGGGTGTGGGTTTAAAAGCAGCACCCGTCTTGAGGTAGTCTTGCGTAGCCCAGGCGTATAGTGGGGGGGGGGAGGCGTATAGTGGGGGGGGGGAGGCGTATAGTGGGGGGGGAGGCGTATAGTGGGGGGGGAGGGGTAGTAGCAGTGTAGCAAACGGCCGGACAACCTTTCAAAAGGCCTTGAGTGTTGTATAACCCTTAAGTGTTGTATAACCCTTGAGTGTTGTATAACCCTTGAGTGTTGTATAACCCTTAAGTGTTGTATAACCCTTGAGTGTTGTATAACCCTTGAGTGTTGTATAACCCTTAAGTGTTGTATAACCCTTGAGTGTTGTATAACCCTTAAGTGTTGTATAACCCTTGAGTGTTGTATAACCCTTGTGTGTTGTATAACCCTTAAGTGTTGTATAACCCTTGAGTGTTGTATAACCCTTGAGTGATGTATTACCCTTGAGTGTTGTATAACCCTTGAGTGTTGTATAACCCTTGAGTGTTGTATAACCCTTGAGTGTTGTATAACCCTTGAGTGTTGTATAACCCTTGAGTGTTGTATAACCCTTGAGTGTTGTATAACCCGAGTGTTGTATAACCCTTGAGTGTTGTATAACCCTTGAGAGTTGTATAACCCTTGAGTGTTGTATAACCCTTGAGTGATGTATTACCCTTGAGTGTTGAATAACCCTTGAGTATTGTATAACCCTTGAAAGTTGTATAACCCTTGAGTGTTGTATAACCCTTGAGTGTTGTATAACCCTTAAGAGTTGTATAACCCTTCAGTGCTGTATAACCCTTGAAAGTTGTATAACCCTTGAGTGTTGTATAACCCTTGAGTATTGTATAACCCTTGAGTATTGTATAACCCTTGTATATTGTATAACAGGGCGCTCTTGCCTGTCGCAGTTGCTGGACCACTATGATATGGCATTAGATGCTACGGAAGACAAACAAAATGCTGATGTAATTTACACAGATTTCGCAAAAGCTTTTGATAAATGTGACCATGGCGTTATTGCACATAAAATGCGTTCAAAAGGAATTACCGGGAAAATAGGCAGATGGATCTACAATTTCCTGACTGACAGAACCCAATGTGTAATAGTCAACAAAATAAAATCCAGCCCATCAACCGTGAAGAGCTCAGTCCCCCAGGGTACTGTGCTTGCTCCAGTACTTTTTCTCATCCTCATATCGGACATAGACCAGAACACAACCTATAGCACTGTATCATCCTTTGCAGATGACACTAGGATTTTCATGAGAGTTGGCAACATAGAGGACACGGCAAACCTCCAATCAGATGTAGATCAGGTCTTTCTATGGGCTACAGAAAATAATATGGTATTCAACGAGGATAAGTTTCAGCTCATGCGCTACGGAAAAATTGAAAACATAAAAACAGGAACCACGTACAAAACGCAGGCAAATCATAACATAGAACGAAAAGGCAATGTAAAGGACCTGGGTGTACTCATGTCGGAAGACCTTACCTTTAAAGAACACAATAAAGTAGCCGTCACAACTGCAAGAAAAATGACAGGTTGGATAACAAGAACTTTTCACACTAGAGATGCTATACCGATGATGATACTTTTCAAAACGCTTGTGCTATCTAGAGTGGAGTACTGCTGCACAATGACAGCCCCTTTCAAAGCTGGAGAAATTGCTGACCTAGAGAGCGTGCAGAGATCCTTTACTGCTAGAATCCACTCAGTAAAACATCTAAATTACTGGGACCGACTAAAGAGCCTAAATCTGTACTCCCTTGAGCGCAGGCGGGAGAGATACATAATAATTTACACGTGGAAAATAATTGAGGGGCTGGTCCCAAACCTGCACACAGAAATAACACCACATGAGACCAGAAGACATGGCAGGATGTGCAGAATACCCCCGTTGAAAAGCAGAGGTGCAACAGGTACTCTGAGAGAGAACTCTATCAACATCAGAGGCCCGAGACTGTTCAACACGCTTCCACTACACATAAGGGACATAACTGGCAGACCCCTCACAGTGTTCAAGAGAGAACTGGATAAGCACCTCCAAAGGATACCTGATCAACCAGGCTGTGACTCATACGTCAGGCTGCGAGCAGCCGCGTCTAACAGCCTGGTTGATCAGTCCAGCAACCAGGAGGCCTGGTCGACGACCGGGCCGCGGGGACACTAAGCCCCGGAAGCACCTCAAGGTAGCCTCAAGGAGTGATGTATAACCCTTGAGTGATGTATAACCCTCGAGTGTTGTATAACCCTTGAGTGATGTATAACCCCTTGAGTGTTGTATAACCCTTCAGTGCTGTATAACCCTTGAAAGTTGTATAACCCGTGAGTATTGTATAACCCTTGAGTGTTGTATAACCCTTGAGTGTTGTATAACCCTTGAGTGTTGTATAACCCTTGAGTGTTGTATAACCCTTGACTGATGTATAACCCTTGAGTGATGTATAACCTCTTGAGTGTTTTTTAACCCTTCAGTGCTGTATAACCCTTGAAAGTTGTATAACCCTTGAGTGTTGTATAACCCTTTAGTGCTGTATAACCCTTGAGTGTTGTATAACCCTTGAGTGTTGTATAACCCTTAAGAGTTGTATAACCCTTAAGTGATGTATAACCATTGAGTGATGTAAAACCCCTTGAGTGTTGTATAACTCTTGAGTGATGTATAACCCTTGAGTGATGTATAACCCTTGAGAGTTATATAACCTTTGAGAGTTGTATAACCCCTGAGTGTCGTATAACCCTTGAGTGTTGTATAACCCTTGAGTGTTGTATAACCCTTGAGTGTTGTATAACCCTTGAGTATTGTATAACCCTTGAAAGTTGTATAACCCTTGAGTTTTGTATAACCCTTGAGTGTTATATAACCTTTGAGAGTTGTATAACCCCTGAGTGTCGTATAACCCTTGAAAGTTGTATAACCCTTGAGTTTTGTATAACCCTTGAGTGTTGTATAACCCTTGAGTGTTGTATAACCCTTAAGAGTTGTATAACCCTTAAGAGTTGTATAACCCTTGAGTGTTGTATAACCCTTAAGAGTTGTATAACCCTTAAGAGTTGTATAACCCTTGAGTGTTGTATAACCCTTAAGAGTTGTATAACCCTTAAGAGTTGTATAACCCTTGAGTGTTGTATAACCCTTAAGAGTTGTATAACCCTTAAGAGTTGTATAACCCTTGAGTGTTGTATAACCCTTAAGAGTTGTATAACCCTTAAGAGTTGTATAACCCTTGAGTGTTGTATAACCCTTGAGTGTTGTATAACCCTTGAGAGTTGTATAACCCTTGAGTGTTGTATAACCCTTGAAAGTTGTATAACCCTTGAGTGTTGTATAACCCTTTAGTATTGTATAACCCTTGAGTGTTGTATAACCCTTAAGAGTTGTATAACCCTTGAGTATTGTATAACCCTTTAGTATTGTATAACCCTTGAGTATTGTATAACCCTTTAGTATTGTATAACCCTTGAGTGTTGTATAACCCTTGAGTGTTGTATAACCCTTGAGTGTTGTATAACCCTTAAGAGTTGTATAACCCTTGAGTATTGTATAACCCTTGAGTGTTGTATAACCCTTGAGTGTTGTATAACCCTTGAGTGTTGTATAACCCTTGAGTGTTGTATAACCCTTGAGAGTTGTATAACCCTTGAGTGTTGAATAACCCTTGAGTGATGTATAACCCCTTGAGTGATGTATAACCCTTGAGTGATGTATAACCCTCGAGTGTTGTATAACCCTTGAGTGATGTATAACCCCTTGAGTGTTGTATAACCCTTCAGTGCTGTATAACCCTTGAAAGTTGTATAACCCGTGAGTATTGTATAACCCTTGAGTGTTGTATAACCCTTGAGTGTTGTATAACCCTTGAGTGTTGTATAACCCTTGAGTGTTGTATAACCCTTGACTGATGTATAACCCTTGAGTGATGTATAACCCCTTGAGTGTGTTTTAACCCTTCAGTGCTGTATAACCCTTGAAAGTTGTATAACCCTTGAGTATTGTATAACCCTTGAGTGTTGTATAACCCTTGAGTGTTGTATAACCCTTTAGTGTTGTATAACCCTTTAGTGCTGTATAACCCTTGAGTGTTGTATAACCCTTGAGTGTTGTATAACCCTTGAGTGATGTATAACCATTGAGTGATGTAAAACCCCTTGAGTGTTGTATAACTCTTGAGTGATGTATAACCCTTGAGTGATGTATAACCCTTGAGTGATGTTTAACCCTCGAGTGTTGTATAACCCTTGAGTGTTGTATAACCCTTGAGAGTTGTATAACCCTTGAGTGTTGTATAACCCTTGAGTGTTGTATAACCCTTGAGTGTTGTATAACCCTTGAGTGTTGTATAACCCTTGAGAGTTGTATAACCCTTGAGTGTTGTATAACCCTTGAGTGTTGTATAACCCTTGAGTGTTGTATAACCCTTAAGTGTTGTATAACCCTTGTGTGTTGTATAACGCTTGAGTGTTGTATAACCCTTAAGTGTTGTATAACCCTTGTGTGTTGTATAACGCTTGAGTGTTGTATAACCCTTGAGTGTTGTATAACCCTTGAGTGTTGTATAACCCTTGAGTGTTGTATGACCCTTGAGTGTTGTATAACCCTTGAGTGTTGTATGACCCTTGAGTGTTGTATAACCCTTGAGTGTTGTATAACCCTTGAGTGTTGTATAACCCTTGTGTGTGTTGTATAACCCTTGAGTGTTGTATAACCCTTGAGAGTTGCATAACCCTTGAGTGTTGTATAACCCTTGAGTGTTGTATAACCCTT